GTGGAGGGGTGGGAGAGAAGGAAAGTCCCCAAGGTGATGGGGGACAATGACTCCATAAGCAAAGAAGTATTTCTGGTGAGCCCTGCTATTTCCTAGAAAACCGAAGAAGAGAATGAACAACAGTCGCAGCAGGTGGGAAGTAGGTTCCCCTCTGGACAGAACTTCCAGGTTTTAAGGCAACATCACCATGCATTTGTATAATGCTTTCCAGATTATGAGGCCCTTTCACAGTCAGTATCTTGTCTGATTCTAGTAAATTCCTGCAAGGCATGAAAAGCAAGGGATTTCTGTGTTATAGATGAGGAAACTGAGGCACCAAGAGACTAAGCCAGGGATTACATGACCAAATGGTAGTGTCTCTTTTGGGGGGAATCCTTTAGAAAAATTAAGAGAGGAAGGCCTTTTTTGAGAGCCTTAGTGCTGAGCACAGAGCAAAAGAAAAGTCCTGAAAAGCCTCAGCCTTTACCTTCCATGCCTGGAGCCCAGAAGGCCATACTCCCCTCCCCCACTCCCTGCAAAGAGCCTTGCAAACTCTTCCAGGGACCTGTTTGAGTAGGTTTGGGGCTGCAGTTGCCTGGGCATCACAGAGAATATTCTCCTCCCTGAGCAACAAGCTGGATGCATGGAGGGAAGGAGGGAGGGTTAGGGAAAGAGGACGAGGTATACAGGGACATAAGCTCTGCTCGTGGGAGGTTTAGTGAGAAAGGAGTGAAATCCTGCCTTGTTTGATTTGGAGCCTTAACAGGCTTGCTACTGTTTAAAGTACACAGGAAAGTGGGATTTGTGCAGGGACGAGAGGGGAGGGTGACGTCTTTATGAATGGTGCTGAGAATCCCGGAGCAGGTGCCCTGTTCTTGTGTCCTGGGCGCTGGGCCCCAGGCCCCGTTGCCTGGGCTGAAGCCCACCACTCTGGCAGCCCGCAGCCTCTCTCTTCCATTCATGGGACTTGGCCCACACACTCCAGTCTGGCCCATCAGACCAATCCCTTTGTTCCCAACAAGGTGGGGGGTAGAGGAGGCTGCTGCTTCTGCTACTGTGGCTGCCTGACAGTATCTGCTGGGCAAGGGTGAGGCACCTTGTGGGCAGACAGAAGAGGGGCCCACCCACAAGGGGACCATGTCCCTGCCTCTCCACGTGGCAGGCCCGGGATTGGGGCAAGTGAAAGATGGCATGCGTCTTGGAGCACAGAGAAATCAGATAGGTGGTGGCATCAGTGGTCTCAGCGTGGGGAGCCAGATGCAAGCCTGGCAAGCCCGGATGCACCACCCCAAGCTCGCCCATGGATGCTGGCACGCAGGGGCCCACTAGCCCTCCCCCCACAAGCCAGGCGCACAGCCTCCCGAGCCCAGCCCCCATCCCGCGCAAGCACCCTAAATATATGCGCGCACACACTGGCAGGCAGCGTTCCCATGCTAAACACTGATGGCTTGCCACCCCCCACCTCTAAAAGGAGCAGACTTGATGCTTAAAGCCTGCCAAAGTGTGGCTGGCTTCCAGCACCAAAAATACCTCCTGTGATCCGAGGGGCTACTGTACTGGCATCTATTTGTGGGGCTGAAGCTGCTGCTGTGGCAGAGAGGACTTCCCCTGGGGATGGCTCGCTGCCCATGTGGGCTTATGCTCCCCAAAGCCCACGGGCTTGCTTTTAAGGGCCAAGGAGGCCTGCTCCTCGCCTGGGAAATGCAAGTGGGAGCTGCTCAGCTGGACCTGCCTTCCACAGGAGAAATACTCGTCTCTCGCAGGAAAAAAAAATCAGCTCTATTCCAGCATGCTGCTGTCCTGTTCTCTCCCACTTCTCTTACCCTCCTCCTTCAGTCACTCGTCAAAGAACAGGCCTGGGGACCGGAATAATAATGCTGCAGCCACGAATACCTTTCCAAGGGTGGGGTTCCAGGAGTAGCTTGACCTCGGGAGGTGTGTGGGTTGGTGTCGGGGGAGAATGCTGTTGAACTTGCTGCAGTTTTCCAAAGATGAGGATTTGGCGTAAGACAAACATTTCCCCATTCATTCATTCATTCATTCATTCATTCATTCATTCATTCATTCATTCATGTGATGAATATTCATTAAATATCTACTAGTTGCCGGCAACTGTGCTGGGCTGTAGCTGTCCCTCCTGAAGGAAAAGAAGATGAACACAAGGCACTGGCAGAGGACTGGTCAGCCCGCAGGAGCTGTGGGTTTGACATCAGCTGGACAGGATGAGGAAGAATAGCGTGAAGGTCAGATGGATACAAGAAAACTCTGAGTTCCCCAGAAGGACATAGAAGAATCTGGGGGTGTGGAGTTTGTTGGATTATTGGCATGCATTCTTTAAAAATATGTGCCAAAGAGATCATTATGTAACGCATACAGTTCCATTAAAGGAAAAAAATCTAGTAAATTTGCTGTTAATAAATATTTGTGTAATAAATGAATGATCAGATCAAAGGGAAGGGGTTATTTGAACACATTTAAAAGCTAGAGGCTCCTGTATACTACCATAACCCCAGAGGATGTTATATCTAAATACAAACCATGAACCAAGGTGGGTTTTGGTTTTTTTTTTAGTTTCTAAAGCATATTTTATAATTAATGCTTAACTAATAAGATCCATATTTGTTCTAGACTATTGGGACTAAAAATAACGACGATCTTTCCATTTTAATGATACTATTAATTCTTCAAACGCTTTTTACACATGTCTGTTTTAATTCCCTCAGCTCTCTGGAGATCGAGGGTAGACATTCCCATCTTACAGATGGAGAAACTGAGGCTTAGAGAAGTGAAGGGTATTTCATGCAGGCTTCCTCCCAGGAGGTAAGGTTAGTGCTCTCCCCACTGACGTGCTGACGCAGACACTTCCGCAATCTCCCAGGACTCAGACCTCAGACCCTGCTCGGCGGCAATGTGGAAACTAGACTGCATCGAGTCACCTGCCTGCAAAGTGTTCTCCCACTGTGATCTCTCTCTCTTCTTTTATTTCTCTTTCCTTTTTCCTTTATTCAGGAATGGGAGGGGAGGCATGGGGATGAAAGATGGAGTGAGCAGAAGAGTATGTTTCATTTATGCTTCCTTGCTTTTCATGCTAGCATTTACTCCTGGACCATGGGAGTGGTGGGGGGCAGTATCAGAAAATTACCTAAATTGTATGATAATCTTCTGAAGATGTGATTAAATTGAGGCGTGGGGAAGAGACGTAACCTCTGCCAGGGTCACGCAGCACTTGATTTAGAACCAGAAGACCCTAACGTTCAGCTTTGAGCTTTATCAGTTAGATATTTCCAACCCTACCACTGGTGGTCTTAGGTGCAGCTGGCCAGACCGATGCTCCATGCATTGAACAAAGGGAGGAAGTGTTCCCAAATCTTCCAGCATCTTCCTCAAATCATCTTCCTTAATAAACTGTGCTTTAGCTTCAGTCAACCCAGAGATAAGAGGATAGACTAGACTGTCTGGATGGGGAGACAAGATCTTTGTAAAAAGAGAAACAAATAATAATAGAGGGTAAATATGATAATTTTCTAGAATGTTAAAAGAATAAATGCTGAAGAAATTCTAAGAAAAGAGTATGGATCAGGAAAGACAGCTTAGATTCTTTGTGGTTCCACAGGATAAAACTAGGTAGGAATAAATAGTGAAAGTTACATCCATTTCAACTAATTACAATGAAGAACTTTTGCAGAATTAGCTCGTTTCTGCAGATGTTGGAGTAGAGCCTAGATTCCTCCAATCCTGTATTGAATGGACAATTGTTTTGAGATGACCAGTGAGTCTAAATTTCTTTTTCCTCTTTCCCTCTCTCTCTTTCCTTTCTTTCCCTTCCTCCTTCCTTCCCTTCCTTCCTCCTGCCCCTACTGCTCTAAGAATTTCCTGCGGCTGCTTTTATACGGTTTTCAGGAGTGATGTTTTTGTTGTTTTTCTATTTACACCACTGAGGACGGTGGCCACGAGAGGGCAGCAGAGGAGACGTCAGCGACTTGGACATGTTCAGCAAACTCGCGTGCGCTCTGATCGCCAGCAGGGACTACGCAGATCCTGGGAACTCGCTGGGGTCCCGCTAGCAGGCCCCTTCCGGAAAGCGGCGTCCAGAGACTGCGGTGATGCCCAGACTCTATGGCGCGCCATCAGTTGGCCTTATAAGGGCCGCGAGGCATTGTCACCCGGAATCCAGACACCTCTCACCTTAGGTTATTAAAATAAGTTATCTTACCGCCACCTCTCTAAATCCCCTGCTAGGCAGGCTCTCCGGGTCTATAGACATCTCCCCTCCCGCCCTCACTGCCCCCATCCAAGTCGGGACTTGCCAAACGCCCAGGATCCCTAACAGCGTGGAAGCCTGAGAATCAATTCAGAGCAAGGTTCATCTTCGCATTGCCAATAATAATAATAATAAATTAATAACAACAACTTCAACCCTTATTCGGGTTGGCTCTTTGGCTTTTTGAAATTCACTAGCAGAAGGCATGCGGTCTCACAATTTCCGAGATCCCAGTCTCAACCCCACCAGACAAGGCCGGTGCCTGCCCGCTCACCCCTCACTCAAATGAAATTTGCAGAGAGGTGTGCAGCACTCGCGCGGCGGCAGGTGACGCCGAGGGAAGGGGAGCCTCTGTCCCCAAGGCCCTCGCCCACTCTGCCTGGGTCCTGACACCCCAGCCCCCCCTACCCCCGCACTTCCTACCCTTGGCCACACCAGGAGGCCAAGCCGGCCGAGCTCTCGCAAGGCCTCGACCCGAACCCCCAGGCCCCGGCAGCATTTTCCGTGACCCGTTGGCCACTTAAGGTGGCTGGTGGGTCCGGGCTGAGCCGGGCGCAGGGCGGGCGGCGGGGCGGCCTCCCGACGCCAAACCTGAGCCTCCTTTGTTGACAGCTCGCGGAGGAGGAGGAGGAAGTCCGCGCGGGCGGGGGCGGGGGCAGGGGGCTGGCTGCGGCGGGCGGTGCCAGCGGCGGGCGCGGCCCCAGCCCGGGCGGGCGCGGCCGGCAGGGAGCGGGTTAACGCGCGCGGCCTCTATGATAATGAGCTGCCTGGTAATATAGGGAGGCCGGCGCTGAGGGCTCCGCCGCCGCCGCCGCCACCGCGGGAGCCGGAGCTGCGGGCGGAGCGGCGTCCGCGCCAGGCTGGAGCGGGAGGGCGGCGGAGCGCAGTTGCCGGGAATATTTCGGCCGGGAGGACGGGCGATCCGGAGACGGAGCCGGCCAGCCCGGGAGCGGCGGGGAGCGCGGGCGCCGGAGCGAGCGGAGCAAACCTCCGAGTCGATCTGGAGCGCCGGCTTCCCGGAGGAAATGGGACTGTGACCGAACCGGGAGCAAGAAGGGAAGGAAGCGCCGGGATTGCTGATGTCAGAGCAGCCCGGAAAGTCGCGCTGGGAAAACCTGAAGACGGCCGGGGCTCTGCCTCTTCCCCACGAGAGACACCACCGGCCACCCCCACACGCCCCCTCGGCGCCCCCGGGTGCCCCCCGCGAGCCGGCGACTGCGCCCGGCGGGGCTGCCGAGCGGCGACGGAGGACTGAGGGGCGCGCGGACCGGAGACCGAGGGGCCACTTCAGGAATACAGATAAGTGGCTGGCGGCTTGACGTGGATTTTAATGAATTTGGACTCCATGTGGATTTGGTCGTCCCCGTGATTCCGAGCTGCGGGCAGGGAGAGGGGCCTCGCGCCGCCCTCGGCAGCCGGCGGCCGGGGCGGACGGAGCAGGGACGGAAGGACAGACAGACGTCGCCGAGCTGGGTAAGCGGCGGCTGGGCCGGGCGCTCGGAGTCGGCGGCGCCCTCCGCCCTCTCCCCAAACGCGCGCACACCGCGGCGGCTTCTCCGGCGCCCGCCGCCTTGAGGTCCCGGCCGGCCACCGGCTTCCCAGCCGCCGGCTGCGGGATGCGGGCTGCGGGCTGCGGGCTGCGGGCGGCGTCAGTGCTCCGCGGCGCGTCTCCTCCGCGCACCTGCCGGCACTCTGCGGCTTTGGGGAGCACCCCAGCGGCCAGGCTGTCCCGCGAGCTGGCGCCCAAAGAGGGCCTCGGTGCAAGAGCGAGCAAGACAGCCCAAAGCCACTGTGGCCAGCGACCGATTTGGGGGCGTTCACTCAGATGTCAGAGTCCCTGGTGGTTGCTGGCTGTTCCTTCCGATCGGGGGACTTGGGGATGCATCATTTGCGGGATTCTGTAAGGCTCAGGGAGCGATTCCAAGGCACTGGATGGGGATGAGCGCTCCATCTCTCCCTGTCCTCCTCCGAGGCGGAGCGCCCAGCAGGGGCCCAGCCCCCTGGTTTGAGCAGGAGAGGAGCGCTGGGGTTGAGATGGGAGTTTGCTCGGGCTCAGAGAGGATCCTCGTGAGCCATTTGAGAAGATTTCCCTCCATGTGCTCCTTCTTGCCCCACCCCACAAGTGATGTGGGGAGCTTAGAAAATTCTAGCCCTTTTTAATCCATCCCACAGGTAGTCTATGTAAATGTGAATCAAGGTGTAGGTGGCTACAGAGAGTCACCAGAAACAGCCATTCTAGGTCACCCCAAATGTCCACCTGTTTAGCATGACCCTAGGCGGACCTACCTACTCAAACTCTGCTCTACTCGGAGGGATAAAGGTAATGGGGGACAGGGAGGTGGCAAAAGACTTGGGGGGTCTGGGTCAGTTAAGTGTCTAGAAATGAGAGCCCCAGGAGGTGGGCAATAGAAATATGATAGGTCTCCTGTAGGGCTCGAAGACTAACGGTGGCGCACACCAGTCCCAGGTGTGCAAGGGACATGAAAGTAGGATCAGTTTGGGGCAGTGGGGCTGCCAATCATAGCTTGAGGCAGTGGCTTGGTTGAACAAAGAGGAATTTTAGGGTGCATTCATCACCTTCTATGCAGGAGCACAGCGGGCAGGTTTACTAAGCCAGGACAGGTTTACTAAGCCAGCGGCAGGCCGAGATGAGTATCTGGGCTGGGCTGCACTGGACTCTTTGGGAGCAGGAGTCAGGTTCAGCGCTTCCCCCTCCCCGCACAATAGCAGGCTTCTTTCCCAGACCTTGAAACTTCACTCTTCCCTCTGGGCTGGCTTAGGATTCTGGGGCCTTCAGTTGAGTGACAGAGCCCCAGGAAGAGATAGCCCTGGCTGGAGGAATTCAGCTACTCCTAATTGAAATGCACAACTTTTGTGCAATCGCCCCAGAAAGCTCCTGGAGTTGCTGGCAGCCCTCTCCCCTCTGACCTCCAGGCAAGAAGAGACAAGAATTCATTAACTTCCCCTTCTCCTCACTGAGCACCATTTGAACTAATTACCTGTGATCTCTCCTCAGAGGCCTGGGGGCTGGTGGGGTGGAGAGGAGAGAGGGTAGGGAACCACTGAAACAGAGTGGAGTCTGTCTGGATACCCTATGGAGGTTGCCTTTCTTTCCCTTCTTCCACCTGGCATCACACCCCTCATCCCGGACACTTGCCCTGCTGCTGCCACCAGTCAGCGTTACCTAAAGGAGTCATTTCCCTCCATCCAGCAGCCAGCGGATCCTGTTCGGGGACCGCAGATCAAGGCAGGGCCACGCAGACTGCCCTCCCTGTTCCCTCACTGTCCTCAGCAAATTGCATTAGGATGGGGGCAAATTGGCTCGCAAAGCAGTTAAATGGAAATGACATTTGGAGCGATGTGCTGGGCATCAGTAGCCGCTGAGGAGCAGCGGGATCTGAAGTGGCAAAGTACCTGAAGGTCTCTTCTGCCCAGGGACCAAGAGTCTGGCAAAGGAATCCCATCTGGCCCCTCTCTCTGACCGGGCATAAGGGCCGGGCTCCTTGACAGCCTAGCGCAGGACAGGGGTGCTGGCTTAGCTTTTCAGCCCCCATCTAAACGAGGAGTACAGTGGTGTCACGTGTCCATCACCCAAAACCATGTCATCACAAGGTTGGTGGCCCGCCTTTCAGAGCTGGCCTGAATACCTACCCCTGTCTCCAGAGCACTAGGGAACAGCATTTCACCCTCCAACTCTCTTGACCATCAAAAGCTGCAGATGTGATGAATATAAAAGTTCACCATCTGTCTTACTGGAGTCTGTGCTCAAAATGAGGTTAAAAAAGAAAGCCCTCAAAGAACAGCTTCTTCTCTGCTAGCTGCCTTTCCATTTACAAATACTTCTGATTATTCAGCTAATCTTTATTTCATGGGCATGTTACAAGAAAACACAGGAGCGGGGAGGGGAAACCGAGTGACATGGTTAAATATACAAGGCAGCAGCTGGCAGCAGCTGAAACTCACCAGTTTAGGTGCTATGAAATATTTGTGGCACTGGAGTTGTCACTGTTTGGGGGTTCTATAGTTTCTATCCTACCTTATTTTCTAGGACTGCCTCCCCAAGTTACAGGGTTTGGTGTGGGGGAGGCAATTCTTATCTCCAGCAGAACCCCCCCCCAACCACCAGCTGTCTGCCTGCATTGCCACACAGCTGTCTCTGCACGCACAAACTGGGGCACAGTTACGTCTGTCCATCATGGCAAACGGAGAGGCAAGGAGCACCAAGCCAAGCCCCCACCCCCACCCCTATTCTGATCATAAAGAGACTGGAGCATTGTGTTACAGTCTGTTAACTAGAAATAATTCAGGACCATTCATAGGGAAGCTGGGAGAAACAGGCTTTGAGGTGCTGGAGTTTTGCAGCTCCTGGGCATGCCTCCCTGGTGGCACAGGGCATCGCCACCACCCCACCCAGGGGCAGTCTGTTATCAATTCATTATATGTGAATATTCTATCTCTGCTCTTCACATATGCTCTGTTCAAACAATGATGAATGGAATGGATTCCCTTAACAGTTTTTTCACTTAGTTACAAAGATTTCATGCCTGATTAGAGTAAATGAGGGGTGGGTGTGCATCTCTTTCTTTCTTGGTCATTTCTAAAGGTGAGCCCTGTGGAGACCCAGAGAAAGGCGGTTCTTCCCAGGGTCAAACAGCTGGTCCCAAGGCGGGGCGGGGAGGGATAGCTGGTGAGAAAGGGACACCCCCTTTCTCCTCTGCTGAGCCCCAGGGCTCTCTAGGGCCCCAGTCCCTGGCATTTGGGCATATGGAACCTCTTTATCTGGCTCCACACTTCTCCATCTGGAATTTAAGGGCAGAAATAGAGGCGAGAAAGTTCTCTGTTGTGGAGCAGGGTCTCTCTATTGGGCAAGAGTGTCAGGGAAGAGGAGGAAGGGAGGAGGAGAGCGGAAAGCAAAGGCTTAGGCCTGAGCATTGAGAAGTTCCCTGCTCCTACAGTTGGTTAACCATTAACTCCTGGCCCTGCCCTGGCCAATCTCCCACTTGGGTGAAAGGATATCTCTGGGAAACCCCGGGGACCAGCAGGTGTTCCCCCCTGGCCCCCCTCACCCTGGCAGAACGTGTGTGCTCTGTCTCCCCTGTCCCCTAAAGCCCCAGGCTCAGTCCCTGGCCCCCACTCACCCCATTCTCTCCTTTCCACCCCTTGACAGCTGTCCCTTCACCTGGCAGTGTTGGTTGTTTGCATGGCAGGTTGTTTGCATGGCAGGGTGCTTGGTGTCAGAGACTGGCGAGCAGGCAGGGTGGCCGGGAGGTCCGACTGAGTGGGGTGGGCTGGTTTCACACAGGACTCCAAGGCAAGTGCTTGGAGTACAGACAGCTTCAAAAATACATATAAACCCAATAGGCCCCAGTTTGCTTGGGGGTTGGGGGGAGGAAGTTTTGCTGAAGTTGTATTCTCCTCCAACTTGATTCTCCTCGTGCTTCTCACTCTGGGTCTGCCCAGTGGGGTCCCTGTTTTGGTCCTCTTGGGGTTAGGCCATTTCATCCAAGGCCTTCCCAAAGCCTTTCTCGCTGGTCCGAGCCAGCGTCCTGAAGTTCAGAGCAGGCCAGTGCGTGCACTGGAGATGCAGATCCAGATACAGGAGCGAAGGCACACCTGGAAAGGAGACAGGAGACGTGGACGCTGTCGCAGATAAACAGAGAGAGGCAGGGAAATAGAAAGGGGAGATCAAGGCAGAGAGACTGACAGCATGGATGAGGCTGGAGGGAGCTGAGAGCAACCCGGGAAGAAAGCGGGAAAAGCCAGCCAGACCAGGCACGGGGGCACAAGGGGTTCTTCTTAGTCTTCCCTGGCAGAGGCTCTGGTCCAGCTTGGGAAGCCGAAGTAGCAGGTTATGTCCACTAGAGGGGACTCTTGAAAACCAGGCTTGGCTCTAAAGAGTGGCTTTTGTGCTTTTCTTTTTAGAAGAAAAAAAATAAAATAAAATAGATGAGACATATTAGAAAGTCCCAGCTGTCACTACAGGGAGACCACAACTGGTAGGGTCCTATTGCCAGGGGGAGGACCTCCGGGCCCCCGTCTGGTTGCAGGGGGGCGGGGGGCTCGAGAAGGTGCCTGCAGCATTAAGCAGCCCTGGAGAGAGAGGCCTGCCCCGACAGGATGTGTCTGGGTGGGAGGCGGCAGGAGGGTGACACATTCTTAAGTTAGCAGGCAGCCCAGTCTGCCGGCTGGCCCGCCAAGAGCCTCTTGCGTTCCTTTATCAGCAAGAGAAGTTCTTGGCCCATCCCCAAGGCGCCTTCACATGCCTTCCCTTCTTCCAGCTCCCTGAATGTGGATTTTCCAAACGATCTCAGGTGGTGGCAAAACTGCTCCCGAGGAGACTTTTCTGAAAAAGACCTTTCAGGAGCTGAACGCATGTCCACGTTGTGTCGCTGATTTAATCTTTGTCTTCATCGTCTCTGCGGGAGCCTTTCTCTGAATTATAATCCCCCCCTTTCATTTCAGCAGAGGACAAT